AATATGGCCAACAACCAAGCTGATTAGAAATTCTGGCAGCAGTCCCAATCCTGTTTGTAGGAAACCAGATCGCAGGAGGCTGTGCTATGTTCACCAGATCTGTTTCCTTGGTCCATGAAAGGAAGTATGGCATTGTGTGTGTGTGATTTTCAGGATACACTAACATTGTAAAACCTAGCCCTCATCACAAAGCTACAGCTGTTCTTTACTTTGTTGTTAAAAAGCTCAACTACAAAAATATTTTGAGATACTTTAAAAAATGTTCTTCAGAAGCAATGGATCAAAGGCTGTAGAATTTCTTTTTCAGTTTGTAGAAGGCTGTTCTAAATACAGATTCCTTTTTGTGGTACATTGGCACATGTATTAGGCCAATGAGATGCAAGCACACTTCATCTCAGTAAAGTGCATCATGCTAGAAAGGTCTTGTGATTTATGTTATTGTGGCACAGCAATAACTCAGCTCATTGAACTGAACCACTTCAATTTTGCTTCTGATGCCTCTTCCAGCACATTCATTTGCAGTACATACACATAAATCTTTTTCACTATTACAAATGCTGCAGGTGGCCTCAGACACAACACAAAATGAAGTAAGATTTATAGAAGTGGGGGCACACTGTTTCATATAGAAGCACTGAAACAACATTTTCCTTGAGCATCTTCAAGATGAAGCTTCCTCCAAAGTTTTGCACAGCCTAAGAATACTCTTCTTGCCTTTCCCTTTTGGCAAACAAATTTTTGTGTTGTTTTAAAAAATCTTCAGAGACTAAGTAAAGGAGCCAACGGACCACAAGAAATATGTATACATCATAGGAAGGGACATCTTTCTCAAGTTTCCTTCAGGGTTCTTTTAAGAAAATGTCTCTATCTTAAAGAAGAAAATATATTCCTAAAGGATGTTAAGAGCAATTCAGATCACAACTGTGTTCAATTGAGAGATACAATCCTTTCAATATTTCCCTCTCAAAAACAGAGTTTCCTTTTACTTGCTAGTAATCCTCTTTCCATATATGTAATCAGCCTCCACAATCTCTGCCTGCATAGCCTTATGCCAGTATTGTCCAAACTTGGCCACTTTAAGGTGAGTGGACTTCAACTCCCAGAATTTCCCAG